CAGATAGAGTGACCCAGCACCCCAGTTTGTCCAAGACTATCTTGGTTTTAGCACTGAAAGGTCCCATGGCCCAGGAAACCCCTCAGTCCTGGGCAAACTGAGATGGTTGGTCACCTAGCACTAGGATTTTCCTGTTTGGAATATACCCCTTACACTCCAGACCAGATACCAGTCTTCTCACCCCAACCTCATGTGTCTGCCTTTATCCACCTGGACACACCACACACACACACACTCTCACAAGAGTCATATCACCATTACCTGTCCCCTGCTCTCCCAGCTTGTATCAGCTCATATAATTCAATGGTCCACAAATGCTCCACACTTGACAGACCAGAGGAAAGTGTTCTTGTCATCTCAGCTTCTTCTCTCAGCTTTGTGACCTTCCCAGTTATCACGGTTTGTGACGTTCACTTTTCTTTAATCAGCAGAGGGCCTGGGTAGAAACACAGGGCTCTCAACCCTGACAGGCTGGATTTCAGATATTGCTGGCTTCTGCCTTCTGAATCCTTGTGGAATGATCAGGGTTTAACGCATTTTCATATGTCAGATTGTCGTTCTTGGGAAGCGACCGCTGAGGAAAATCCCTGGTATGTGAGCTCCCTACACCTTGTTATCCTCCACGGCCATAATTGCTCCTTTCACACTGATATCTTCAACCCTTCCACCAGCACTTGGGTCCGGCACAGCATCACCATCTGTTCATATGACACCAACATTATGCTCTCCTTTCATGCATCCCTAAATGGGGCTGGAGAAGGCAATGGAGATGGCAAATGTGCCAGCTGGCACCAGTGACACAAACCTAGACAGTGATGAATCATGGCCCAGGACCGGGAGGAAGAGGGGAGGACGCTGATGGCTAGCTGTGTGCTGTCATCCGTGCTGCAGGGCGGACCTCTCCACTCATGGAAGCAGAATTAACGTGGTCTTTCTGTTCCTGCAGCAAATGCATAAGCTTCTTATTAATATATGGTCACAAGAGAACGTTCAATAGAAAAGAAACATTCTTGCTTCTGTGCCTCTCTAACTGGCATTACTTGGGACTCTCCAGAGAGTTTGAGGATTGCTTGAAAACAAGAGGGCGGGGTTTCTGGCTGTCCAGGGGAGGAGCCCAGACACGATGATCATGCCGATGGGCCAGTTCTGTCCCGCAGGCTGCTGAAGTTCCCACTACCTCTTCCACCCTGGGTCTCCAAGGTCCTCTCTTCTTACTTTATGCCCTACAATCGATTTACTCATTCAGTTCTCTCTGAATGCTGCTTCCAGGATTAAATTGGCCAGGCAGCTATTCAAGGTTGGTTCTATAGATTTCAAATTTAGGCATGTTGACCTTGGCCTTTTCGTTGTTGTTATTGTTGATTTTGATGTATTTGATGTTAAGACAGTTCTATGTTTTAAAACTTTCTATTCTTTGCTTTTTTATTGAGTCCTTTTCCCTATATTTATGTGTTTGCCTTCATTTACTTCACTTTCACCTTTCCCTTTTTTATTTTTATTTTATTTATTGTTTTTTGTTTTTTTGTGAGGAAGATCAGCCCTGAACTAACATCCATGCTAATCCTCCTCTTTTTGCTGAGGAAGACCGGCTCTGAGCTAACATCTGTTGCCAATCTTCCTCCTTTTTTTTTCCCCCCAAAGCCCCCGTAGATAGTTGTATGTCATAGTTGCACAACCTTCTAGTTGTTGTATGTGGGATGCGGCCTCAGCATGGCTGGAGAAGCGGTGCGTCGGTGCGCGCCCGGGATCCGAACCCGGGCCGCCAGTAGCGGAGTGCGTGCACTTAACCACTAAGCCACGGGGCAGGCCCCACCTTTCCCTTTTTTAAATGGAAATGGTAGCACAAAGGCACCCAATAAAATATGAAACTCTTTCTCAATAGAGGAAGCTAGATGCTGTTTTTGTTTTATACAAAAAGCCCCCATAGATCCTGCCTGTTCTCTAAACAGATATCTCCCAAAGGCTGATGCAGCCGAGAGAGAGAAATGTGTTTCCAGCTACATGCATGAAATACAAGAAATCCCAGATCAGCCCTGTGCAGGAGACTGAGACAGCCCCAGAGGTGGAGCCCCCAAATGGTTGGAATCCTAGTGTTATCACAGCTCCAAAACATCCAGGTTGACTTGCGAGGTTCCTTCCCATCAGGTCGACTCAGCTGACCAGTGAAGATGGAAGAAATAGAAACCTGACGCCCTTGACTTTATAAGGTAGCTGACACAAAAGCACCCATTAGCGGGGGCAGCTTTGGAGCACCTATCTCTCATTCTTATAGGAAACATACTTGTCCAAGTCTCTTCTCTGTTGCTAAAAACAAAAGAAATAAACAAAATGCTTAAAACAGCAGAGATGGCTGGCATGAGCGTTGGTGATTATATGTGGTGTCAATAAACAACTTCAGGCACAGAGAAACACGCAGGAGTGTCCAGAGATTACTGGCTGGTCAGAAGTTGTGACAGAAGGTCCACTGGGGAGGAGGGGTAAAAAATGCCAGATAATAGAAAATGATCCTTGTAGAGCCAGAAACAAGTCATGTATGAGGGACAGTGAATGGGAAATATGATTCAGAGCCCGCCTGGAGATAAAGGGAGTGATGGATGCTGCCAAAAGGTAAAGATCTGTGTAGCAGGGTGGTTAGAGTTTGTGCTTGAGACTGTACAACTGGGAGATTCTTAAGCCTTCTGAGTCATAGAGGAAAGGCATTGACATAGGGGCAGTGGAAGAATAGGGGAGGATTCTTAATCAAAATGATTCCTAAAGAAAATGATGCCTTCGCCTATGATGAGGAGGAATTGCAGAAATAATATCCCAGAAGTAGAGGCTGTGCCTGGTTCCAGAGAGAGGGGTAGAGTGGAGACAGTTTAAGGCTCTGCTTCAATGTCGTGGCTAAAGAAGTGGATATAAACGTGAATGAAAATGCCAAACAGTGCCTCTCTGCATTAAAGTTTAGCTGTTTGGCCTCTCCCCATAGCTTTTAGTTTCATTTTTTTGTTTTTGGTTTTTTTGCTGAGGAAGATTTGCCCTGAGCTAACATCTGTGGCCAGTCTTCCTCTATTTTGTATATGAGCTGTCATCACAGCATGGCCACTGATGAGTGGTATAGGTCCACACCTGGGAACCAAACCCAGGCCACCAAAGTGGAGTGCACCGAACTTAACCACTAGGCCACTGGGGCTAGTCCCTGGATGCAGTTTTGATGCCAATGATAGTGGTGTTTATTTTCTCCCCTGAGGGTCAGAAAATGTGATTTCTAGTCCTGGCTTTGACACTAACTATGGCAAGCCCTCTCTCTCCCTCACTTTGGGGATACTGAGCTGGCCCAAATGTGACTTCAGCCTTGGGGATATAGTGTCGGGGGGAGGGGACATAGGAAGCCAATGGAGCCACCCCTACCTCCTCCTTCAAAGCCACCAGCAGCCGCTGGATCTTTAACAAGAAACATAAGTGGGAGAAGTAGGTCGCCCCTGCAGCTGCTCGGCCTCTATTCTCGAGTGTCAGGAAGCCAGCTCTGGCCTGAGAAAGTCTTGAAATTCGGGCGCGGTGTGATGAGATGCTCAGGCAAGGAGGCTGTTGTAAACAGAAAGGTGTTTGTCTCCCGTCTCAGATTCACAGTTGGGCATCAGCTCCTTGAGTTTCCTTTTTTGCACCGAGCGCTTCTAGTTGCATCAAAGTAAGTTTGCCGTGCACGAGGCTGTTGTGACTAATCCTGGGGTTAGTCATTCCAGGGCTGGAGTAAGAACTTCAGACTTCCTAAACCCTGAAAGGAATATGGTTTCCCCTCACTGCCCCATATGTACTTCCAAATAAAAACATTTTTAAGTCATAAAATATGTACAATGACATCCTACCAAGTTCTGATTTTTTCCCACAATGATTACACAGATACTTTTAAACAAATCAACATTTCATATATTTTTTCTCTGTTTTAGTTTCCCTGCTTTGCTGATGCTCAGTCTAAGCACACGTTTAGTTGACTTGTCGGTGATCCAGCAGTGGTCACTTCCCCTTGCTGGGCCTCAGTTTTCTCATCTATGAAATAAAGGTTTTAGGTGGAAGATCTCTAAGATCTCTTCCAGCTAAATTTTCTATAATTTCATAACCTCAAAGGCCAGTTTTCTAACTACCTTTATCATCATCTTATCTTGACATTTTGTGTCTTCCAAATATGAATGAGAAAAATAATATTGGCATTTCCATATTCCCTCGACTCCTCATACCTATTCAAGGCCACAGCTAAACCTCGGTGAGTATCTGGGACATTTCTAAGTCAAAATTAAAGGATGATTGTGTCCCTTTTTATGTCCAAACCTTGTGAAGAATATATGTCTATAATAAGATGTGATCATTAGCAAAGTCCTTGATATACTGATGGAAAGCATTTTGGAATAAAGGCAACACTATTTTGGAAAAGGATAACAGTTATGACTCATATAGGATACTTGTACTATGTTTTCATCTCTGCAAATAATTTAGGGTGTGGTTCTGAAAATTTCTCTTAATCTTTCTAGGCTTTAGCTTTCCTGTTCATTCATTCATTCATTCATTCATGATTTACCTACCTCCAATATTTTATAATAAGGTAAGTCTGTCTCTAATATTTTGTGAAATTTGCCATGAACACATCTCCCATCTACATCTTGGCAATTCTTATGCCACTGCCCTTTGACTTTTCACCTCTGTCCTGAGTGGAGATATTGCCTTGGTTCCCAGGCATCCTGGGAGAGGGTGGCAGCAGAAACTGGGTCTCTCTACAAGCCTTGCTGTGGTCTGCCTCTCAGATGGGCACTGTTCATTATTTGCTGGAAGGTTTATATAACAGATGTTACAAGGCAGACAAGCAAGCACACACGCCCCGAGCCCAGAGCACGCCGAGCCAGACACGCACACACTCGCCAATACCAATACAAGGAGAGCTGCCGGGGTGATGGAGGGAGTGTGCTCTGGGGGCGAGCGCTGCTCCAAAGCCCTGCTAATGTCTCTGTGTGGCCATGCTGTATTTTCAGCTTGTCATCATGGCTGGGACAGTGCTGCTTGCCTACTACTTCGAATGCACTGACACTTTTCAGGTGCATATCCAAGGATTCTTCTGTCAGGACGGAGACTTAATGAAGCCTTACCCGGGGACAGAGGAAGAAAGCTTCATCACCCCTCTGGTGCTCTATTGTGTGCTGGCTGCCACCCCAACTGCTATTGTAAGTACAGAGTTAGACTTCCTTCTTTATTGTCAGATATTAAATGTTTCCTGTCTGCCTTTTCTGCTCTCTTCTCTCTTCCTGGGCATTCACCGGCAGCCTTATCAGGGGTGTCCTGTTTCAACCAAAACAGAGTCAGTAGAGCTCTGCATAAAACTTCGTTGAAATAGGTCTTGTCTTTTATAGGTGGCTTTTGCTTTTGGGTATCTGAATTTAAATATGTATATATATATTTTTTTTCTTTTTAAAGCATGTTTGAATGTCATAAATCAAGAGGCATGATTGGCTAACGTGTTAAGAACAGCTCTTGTGCTCTTGAAAATATATGCCGTGGGTTGTGTGTATTCAGAAGAGGTCTTGAACATAAATGCTGACATTGATATGAAGACTCAGATCGGAGTGAAATAAAATCCCCCCAGCCTGGGCCTGTATCTCCTGCTGTTCTGATTGAACTTCCAGAGAGGTGGAGATGAGAGAAATCATTTGACCTGAAGTTTGCTGTGATTCATTCTTGGTGGCTCTGGCTCTGTTCACATTACATCACATTCAATTAAGTTGCAATGTTACCATTGTTTATTTCATTATTCTCTCTCCTGAGGCAAAAAAATTGGCCAGAAAATCCTCTAGGGAGACCTGTTGCAAAAGCATAAAGCTCACAGATCTGTATTATCTGGAAAAGGGATTTAACACTTAGACGTTTTAATTTTAATTTTTAAAATGACTTTGTGAGTGTTTTAAATAAACATTTCTGTGTCTAAACATGCTACAGCATCAGATTATTTGGGATGTAATCTCAGTTATAATTTCCCCCCTTTCTCTTCCAATAGCTGCCTCCCCCCAACTCTCCGTCCTCCCCCACCTGCCCTTTCCCTCTCCCCTCTCTTTTGGGCAGTAAGAAAAATACTGACTGGCATGCTGAGGAATATACTGATTGCTCAGACATTTGGTTCAAGTATTGTTTTCTATGCAAATGTTTTGCTTGCTTTAAGATGAGAAATGGAATAGAATTTTGAGGAGGAATAATGTGGATGTAATGACTCATACTACTTTAAGTTCATTTTGATCATTGATCCTCAGCTTGACAAGCTCCCCCTTAAATGATAAGACTGTGCTGTAGGAATTAAGGTCAGCAATGATAAAACATGATGTATCAGCGTGGTTAAAAACACAAGCTTTGCAGTCACATATACCTGGATTCGAAGCTTGTGTATGTGACTTTAGACAAGTCCCTCCCCCCATAAAAGTGGGGATAATGTGACTGCCTATTTCATAGAGTTGTCATGAGACTTAAATAAGATGATTCATACAAATGACTTAGCACCGTGTCTGGCAGGTACTAAGTGGTTAGAAACAGGGGAACAAAGAACCCGGCTGGAAACTGTTCTTCACCCTCTTCAGGCTCACAGACCTACTTCCTCTGCCTGAAGAGAATGAGGTTCCACTGAGGACCCTGGGAACACCTCCTCTTTAGAGTGATGGGAGATGTGCCCTCTCCCAGAGCAAGGCTGATCTCTGTATCCCTCTAACCTTTCCCTTATTCTTTCTCACCAGCCTGGGGAATAAGAGAAGGCATGAAAGACACCCTTCCATGGGCCTCAAAAGGTGACACTTAACTTCCCAGATAAATCCTGGAGGCCACATTGGGTTCTGTCTGGACTGGTTTAATGGTGGCTCTACCTGGAGGCAGAAGGCTTAGCCTGGAGTCAGATCCTGGTTTCTCCCTGTCTCATAAGCGTATCATTTTCCTGTGTATTCATACGTGAATCTCTGAGTGGTCCTTTGACTTACTAACATGTTTTCCTCTCTTATTCCCAGTCCCGGGAAGTATCATTGCCTAGATTCTCCTATAACTAATTCTTGTAATTATAGAGATATTTTTCCATTAAAAAATACTGAGGAAAGCAAGGGAAACAGATTAATAAAAATTATGAACAAAAGTTAGTGAATCAGAAAATAGAAGTCATAAATAAAATCAGGAGCTAATTATTTGAAAAGTCAAATGTACAAGCCTCTGGCTAGTCAGTCTAATATAAGAAAGCCAGAAGGAAAAAAATATATAAGCAAAAATACATAAATCTTGAAAAGTCTACACTGTATTTTTATTTAAATTGTATATATAATTCTGTGCCAATAAATGCTTACATCTCAATAAAATTGAAAATATTCTATGAAGAGATAATTTAATAACAATGCCATAAAAAGATGTAGAAAAGATGAATAGATGAATAACAGTAGAATAAATTTTTAAACGTGTCTAAAATTTATCTCGCAAAATAGTACTGAAGACAGAGACATAGCTATAGTACAAATTCCTTCAAACTTTCAAGGAATAGAAAATCCATAATATATAAAATGTTCCAGAGGGCCGACCCAGTGACATAGCAGTGAAGTGTGCATGCTCTGCTTCAGCGGCCCGGGGTTCACAGGTTCAGATCCCAGGCACCCACCACTGCACTGCTTGTCAAGCCATGCTGTGGTGGCGTCCCATATAAAGTAGAGGATGATGGGCATAGATGTTAGCTCAGGGCCAATCTTCCTCACACACACACAAAAAAGGTCCAGAGCTTAAAAATAAATGGAAAGCTTTTCAATGCTCATTACAAAGCAAGTTAAATATGGATTTTAAACACTTAGAAGGTCTACTTACATACCCACAAAAGCACCCTCAATAGCAACAATCTCACTTAAGAATGTTGATGTAAGCATATTGAAAGGATTGATGGATTTGTCTACCTAAAAATAAGCATTTCTATCAAAAGAAAAAGTAAAGACTGCAAAAATGTTTGCAGCATATGAGACTCAAATGTAAATATCCTTAACACTTAAAAAGATGAGCTTCCCAAAATAAAAATGGGAGAGGACAGGAATATACAATTAACAAAACAATAAATTGTGTGAATATAAACATTTCTAAACTCATCAATTATCAAAGAAAAGTAATTTTTAAAAACACGACATTTTCCCCATGTAAGATTGGCAGATGTTTTAGAGAAATATAGCCCATGTTGTTGAAGGTACAGATACTTTCATACAATTCTAGTCAAAGATATTTTCTTTCTGAAGAGCAGCTTGTCAAAGACGTATTAAGAGTTTTATGAACTTCAGACCCAGTCATTAATTCCATTCTCTGAATTTATGTTAAGGAGATAATCAGAATTTTATATAAATACAAAGTTTTGTGTATAGGAATGTTCATCTCAGCAATAGTTTTAATGGTGAAAAACTTGGAACTATCTAAATACGTAATACTAGTGGATTGTGTAAATACATTATGGGGCAGTCATGTTCTTGAAACACCTTTAATAACAATGAAACATGCTTGTGATTTAATGTTAAGATTTTTTTAAAGGCTAAAATATTGCATATAGTATTGTGGGTAAAATCTTTTTCCCTTCCACAAGAGACTCTGACCGTCTCTTAATTTTCTGGCTCTGTTTCCCTAGAAAAAGAAAAAGATGATGTGTATCAACTATGTTACTAGGCAAAATTAACCCCTGATTGGTGAAGTGCATGTGGACCCAGAGAACCATAATTACCTGAGAAGGTAGCATGTTATGACTTCCAAGTGCAGTGACTCTGGAAACTTGTCATGTCCATTGTGGGACCTTGGAAGCTATGCCTATGGAGTTGCCACACCATATATTGACTCCTATAGGGCGTGAGGCTTTTAAGCCAGGGTGGCTCCTGCGTTTGCTGATATGTCTGTGGTCTCCTTGCACCTGAGCTGTGCTGTGCTGCTGGACCACTGTGAGGACATGTGCTGAAGAGGAGCATGTGATGCTGCCCTGTTGGCAAGCTATGGTTCCTTCCAAGTGGACTAGTGCCAAATGTAGCACATGGTTGTCTGTGGGTCTGAATATTTAATAGACCCTAAGAAGACACCTTCTGTGTGTTGCAAGTATAATCCCAAATTTATAATTATATATCAAAAGACTAGTAAGAAATAAACTAAAAATTTAGAGCTATTGTCTCTGAGTACTAATGGTACAGTTAATTTTTTCTTTTTTTTATACTTTTATATATTTCTTTCCAAATTCTATGTGAATGTTTATTATTTTCAAATTGAAAGATATATTTTAAAAATAAATTGTATACTCCAGTTCTTCTGGCAATAATTATGAAAGGACTAATCTTTAATAAGACTTGAAAATGGCAATTCTAATAAACAGAAGCACACATGGCCAAAAAACAAAAATAGTAAAACAGAACTTTGTGAAGAATTTTCTCTTCTCTCGGGGCAAAAATCATAGACTATTTTTTTTCTTTCTAAAATGTTCAGCAGAAACTCTTCTCCAGGCTAGGAATTTTGATCAGATCTGTTCCATCAATTCCTTTTCCTCAAATGACACAAATTGACATGGAGATCAGATGCTCCAATGGGAGCCAGGAGGATATGGTCAATGGACACTGAACTGAGTATTAAGAACCTACAGCTTGGGGCCGGCCCAGTGGTGTAGTGGTTAAGTTTGGTGCACTCTGCTTCGGTGGCCTGGGTTCACAGGTTCAGATCCTGGGCGCACACCTACACCATTTATCAGCCATGCTGTGGCGGGCGACCCACATACAAAAGAGAGGAAGATTGGTCAGAGATGTTAGCTCAGGGCGAATCTTCCTCAGAAAAAAAAAAGAAAGAAAAAACAAACCTATAGCTCTACTCTAGCTCTCTAGTATAGAACCCTGATTCAGCCTTTCCATTCCTTTGCTTCTCTGGATGAAAAATGTGACCAATAATGCTGGCAGACCCCCAAGATATGTGCTGAGGAATATTCCATAAACGATGATGGTAAGAATAACATCTTTTAATTTATTTACATTCTGCAATCCTTGCCTAATTGATCCTCACAACATCCCAGTGAAACCAGAAAAGAGACATCCTAAAGAACATAGAGAAAGTGTGTAGTCCAATTCCCTTTAAGTTGAGAACATTGAGACTTAACGAGGTTAAATGATTTGCTGAAGGTCCCAGCTAGTTCTGTATGTGATTAGACAGGTAGGCATCC